CGGTATGGGCGCCAAAACCATAAACCTCAATACCCCGTCCGGGTATGAGGGTGAAACGGGCCGTCCCCATACCCCCGTCCGGTATGGGCGCCAAACCATAAAATCTCCATACCCCGTCCGGTATGAGAGACCACAATCCCGGTAGGGTTCCCTACGGACCCGGTCCGTCCACCATCTCCTAGGATATCTAGTCAGGCTAACCCCATCATACAATTATCAGTCTACACAATCTTTCATTTTCCTTTTCCTCAATAAGCATCGTCAATTCACATTTAAGAAAGCAAATCGTAATTCATGCCAAACAGACAACATACAGTATCAGTTCTTCAGTCTTTCAACCCATAAATAAATAAAACAGTAATATATGCACTCGAAACTATAAAATGAACACATCAAACCTCATAATGCATTTAAAGCTGTAAAACAGGCCAAATAACAGTAAATCATAAATCACACTAGACTCGGGCTCCATTAGCAACCTTAAGCAATTTCACACATGCGTTAATTCAAGAAATACCGTTTTATCATTTTGAACTTTAATACCGTGATAGGAAATAGGGTGAGGAGTCCTTACTTGTTTTCGGGATCCAAATACGATTCACAGTGCGCCTACAGGCCGTCCCTAATTTTCCCTGAATTTTTTCCCGGGGAACTGAAACACACTAACGGTACCTGCACGTGTTCCAAAAAAAACCCAAATTAGGCCCGGGGCCTCTTTCGGCCCAAATCGCAACTCTGGCACGGCGGCTCTGCCGTGCTCCGGCGACGGCGCCGCCGCTGGCGGCGGCGAGTCGCCTCAGGTTGGCTGTTTTCGGCCGTTTTCGGTCGAATTCGGCCACACTCGCATCGGTCCCTGTGAGAAAACAACCCTAGGGCCCTCGGGGGGCCAAAAAATCACGGAAAAACGGAGCTTACCGGCGGCGGCGCTCTCGGGTGCGGCGGCTCTCCGGCGAGGTTCGTGTTTTGGTGATTCGACTCCGGTCAACCTGTAGAGAAAAGAATGGTGATCACGGTGATATAAAAATTGCATCAAACGGAGGCCGGGAAGGGCCTCGTCGGAGGCAAAAACCGAGAGGGGGCGCGGCGGCGCCGCTGGTCTTCGGCCGCGTATTCCGGCCGTTTGGCCGGGATTTTGGCTTCGATTTGGCCATAGGAGGAATCAGCGTGGAAAAACAAGTCGGGGGTATGAAATTTACCTCGATCGGCGGTCGAAAATTTCCCCGGTGCGGCGGCGGGTGGCGGCGGTCGGCCTCTGGTTCGTCTTCTCCGGCGAGCGGCAGACGGCTAGGGTTTGTGGTCTGGTGTGGGGGTTCTATTTATAACCCCTTGCCCTTTGATCTCAGCCGTCCATTTTGTTTTAATCTGGGCCGTCCGTTTTTTATTAAATCTGGACCGTCCGTGCGATTGTATCTGGGCCGTCCGATCGCGCGATTGATCTGGGCCGTCCGATCGCGCCCACGCGGATCACCAACGTGGCCCGTTCAGGAGCGACGTGGTCTTACCATGTGGCAGGCCCCGGTTGGCCGGGACTGCTGACCGGACCTGCTGACGTGGTTTTTTTTTTCCTCGGTCCGGGCGCTACATTATGTACTATCAATAACTAGTTATAAAATCATCCTGACTATTCAATTAAAAAAATTTAATGAGTCTATACAAGATTGGCAACTTAATTAATGGAATGATATAAATAATTCATAAAAATTATAAACTTGAAAAAAATAAGTAATAATAATTATGAGACTGGTAAATTTTATTTAAATATTACGAATTTGAATTTCAATAAAAACGTATTAATAATTAATATATAATATTAATTCAATTGAGCTAAAAATTTACTTGGTTAATATATTATAAGTAATTTATTTTATAATAATTTAATTTTTTTAAAACAAAATAATCATGATAGATTAAAAAAAAAAAGCATGATTATGGGTTTGGACTTTGGAAAAACCTTTTAGATTTTTTTTTTAAAAGTTTTTGAAGAGTATTTGACAATTGACTCCAACAAAATCATTGTGTCCACAAGTGGGAATTTAAAACCT